GGGGGGGGGGGGGGGGGGGGGGGGGCGCACTCAGTAAAGCAGCTTTGTTGGATCAAGCATTGCTGTAAGGGTTGGCAAGCTCTGATGACTTGTGTCGCTGCTGCTCTTTTGCAGTTCGTCGAGGCAGAGCAAAGGGCATTCGATGCCGAGGTTATGGAGGTGAAAGCATGGTGGGGAAGCGAGAGGTTCCGGCTGACGAAGAGGCCATACAGCGCGGAGCAGGTCGTTAGACTTCGAGGAACACTTCCGGTGGGCACCTACGCCTCCAACTTCCAAGCCAAGAAACTTTGGGCAATCCTAAGACGGCACCAGTCAAATGGAACGGCATCGAGAACTTTCGGCGCCCTTGACACGGTCCAGGTTACACAGATGGCCAAGTATCTGGACACCATCTACGTGTCTGGCTGGCAGTGCGCGTCCACAGCGTCCTCGTCTAATGAGCCTGGTCCTGATCTTGCAGATTACCCTGCGGAAACGGTTCCGAACAAGGTGGAGCAGCTCTTCTTTGCGCAGATGCTGCATGATCGAAAGCAGAAGGAGGCACGCTTCAGCATGACAAAGGTACAATGCATTACGACTGCTCCAACCTAGCGACGAGTTGGTTACGATGGGCGTTATTGGTATGATACTATGCTAAAACGTTTTGTCTTTTTGCATGTGAAAACATTTATATTTGCACGTGGAAACATTTTATCTGGTTTGGTAGGTACGAGGTTTCTTTTGTTAATAAATCACCAGTAACCCCCAAAAGTCGTGGCGGTTAACAAGCCGTGACAATGATGCACGAAATGGGGGGCGACTACGGGAGCGAGAGCCCATATTCATCCGACGACTAGAAACGATTCTATTCTTTTTTTTTTTCCATGGCCGGTACATGGGAAAGGTACTAGGGGCTTAAGGCTGCCAAGGACGAGTTGAGTTTGAGAGTTTACAGGGCTGTTGTTGTGAATGTATACATAGGAGGAGGCCCGGAGTCAGATGATTGTGAAATGGAAATGGTCATAGCTTAAATTTGTGGATGCAGGGCTAATAAGAGAGGGTGCTGGTGCTGGTAAGTTGTAGGCAGGGCTAAGAGTGGGCGATGGGAATTGTTGCGAGTTGCAGGTCGAGGAGGGATCCTGTTCGACTCTGTTAGCAACCGAGTGAGGAAGTGGAGTTCTATCTTCACTTCGGCCGGCGACAGGCAGAAGGGTGATGTGCTGCGGTGCAGCTTTTGAGTCTTGACGAACGAGATGTTGTCACTGCGCACTATGGAAGTTTTCTGTCTTCTTTTGAGCATAGCATGTTTGCACATCTGTCATTTCAAACCCCACTTGTGCACTCCGCTCTCGTCCTTGCTTCATGTTAACTGTTTTTTCCACCTATGGCTACAGAACACTGATGAAAACTCAGAAAAAAGTCTTTTTTTAAGCTTTTTATTTTAATCTTTTTTTTTTTTGTTGTTGAGAAACCGGTCACCCGTGCTAGGGGGGGTTACGTGAAGGCCACAGGAAAACCTGCTACGGAACACTACTGAAAAACTCAGAAAAAAGGCCTGCTTGGGGGGGTTACGTGAGGCGGGTTAACGTGAAGGCCACAGGAAAACCTGAAAACGGTTTTCTTATTGTGGGACGAGTGTAAATTTGCTTCTTGCAATAGTGGGGGCTCAGTCGTGGGGCCACAGGAAAACCTGTGTCAGGAAGGTTCTCTTCTTCTCTTCGGTATTCTCAGTCATTCGTATGGATCTCTTGACCGTCTTTCTCACGTATCAAACACTGACTGCATTTGGTTTGTTCCCCGCTTGGCTTGACGTTCATTCCGCACTCCACTGTAGTAACACGTCTTCTTCACGCTTTTGTGTGCAGCACACCATGTTGCCGCCTCTGGTTATCGACATTGTCATCTCTCCAGGTCTCACACACGTCCATTTTGTCGTTTGGTTTGGGCCAGCGCATGACACGCAATGCGCACACGTCCGTTTTGTCGTTTGGTTTGGGCCAGCGCATGACACGCAATGCTGTGTTCCGTGTTCTGTGTGCGTGTGTGCAGGAGGAGAGGGCACGAACTCCGTATGTGGACTACCTCGCGCCACTGATTGCGGACGCGGACACGGGATTTGGTGGCACAACAGCAACCGTGAAGCTGGTAAAGATGTTTGTGGAAAGAGGCGCTTCTGGAGTTCACATAGAGGATCAAGCAGCTTCAACGAAGAAATGCGGTCATATGGGCGGCAAAGTGCTAGTCCCGATATCTGAGCACGTCAACCGATTGGTTTCTGCCCGTCTTCAGTGCGACATAATGGGGGTGGAGACTGTCCTAGTGGCCAGGACTGATTCGGATGCTGCCACATTGCTTCAGAGCAACATCGACGCAAGGGACCATCCGTTCATCCTTGGAGTTACCAATCCACAGCTGAAGGGGAAGCCTCTTGTACGGGTACTGCAAGAAGCGCAAGATGCTGGAAAGATGGGGGCGGAGCTGCAGGCTGTGGAGGATGCGTGGACGGCAGCAGCCAACCTGAGACTATACGCGGATGCGGTGGCCGATGCCATCCGGTCGGTCAACGGCATTTCAGAGATCGAGCGAACACGGAGGCTCAACGAGTGGTTTGGCTTGGCGGAGAAGATGCCCCGCGAAGATGCGCAGGAGTTGGCGCACAAGCTCGGGGCTGGGGGAGTCTTTTTTGACTGGGATCTTCCCCGAACCCGTGAGGGGTATTACCGGTTCCAAGGGGGCATCAAGGCGGCGATTACTCGAGCTGTCGCTCTTGCCCCCCATGCTGATTTGCTGTGGATGGAGACTGCCAAGCCCAATCTGCAGCAAGCTCGAGATTTTGCACAGGGCGTCAGGGCTGTCCACCCAGACGTCATGCTGGCGTACAATCTCTCCCCCTCATTCAACTGGGATGCAGCGGGAATGACAGATCAACAGATGCGCACATTCATAGATGATCTGGCGAAGCTGGGATACTGCTGGCAGTTCATCACTCTGGCCGGTTTCCATGCGGACGGACTTGTAGTTGATATGTTTGCCAGAGACTTTGCGAACAGAGGAATGCTGGCATACGTGGAGGGAATTCAGAGACAGGAAAGGATTCATGGTGTGGAGACTCTTGCGCACCAGAAATGGTCTGGAGCAAGCTACTACGACCAGCTGCTGAAGACGGTCACCGGCGGGATTTCCTCAACGGCGGCCATGCAAAAAGGTTTGAAGTCGCCACAACCTTCAAAAGCCATGAAATCCCCTCCAATGACGGAAATTGTGCGTGAAAGGTGTATATACTATATAACGCACTTCAACCCAAAACACCCACCCAAAACGCCACTGGTCTGGCATTTTGGAGCCTGCTTATATAATGGCTGATGTCTATAGAATCAGCTTCAATCAGGTAGATCTTCTGCTTATCTCACTCTTTTTATTCTCCGCAATGACTGTACTCTCTCCAGCTGGATTACTGTTCATTTGTCTGTTCAATTTAGCCTACCCCAAAACTTCCCAGAACAGATACACATGAGAACAGCCTGAAGGTTGCAAACTCGATTCACACGCACACATCCCACGATACGAAAAGAAAAGAACGGAAAAAAGGTGAAAAAACAAAATGAAGCAGGAAACTGGGAAAAGTGTCATGCAAACGGAAGACGCTCTTTTCAGTATGGTCAGATACCATACCATTCTGCGCTCATTTGATATTTATCAGCAGTTCATTGTTAGTATTGGGTAGGAAGTAGTCTGGACTGTCCATAGATAGACAGCAAATATAAATCCAGCAGCTCACAAGCTCCGCCACCACAGAAAAGGATTTTCACATTTTGTACGTACGACTCAGTACACCTCTCTCTCCCTAACTTTGCGGTATTTGGTCACAAAAGGCTGGCGTTCTCGTTCCGTCATGTGTTGAGAAATAACACCCGGACCCGATGGCTGCGTTGGGATAGATGGGCCCACCTGCTGGAGGTCCTTGAGGGAGATAGTTGGGTGTATGGGTGTGCGAGAGAGAGGTCAGGTCCTACAGCATCCACGCAGCGGTGGGGTGGATATTTCGACCGGCAGGGATCCACTTTTGAACACCATGTCATGGCTGCACAAGGCACCAGGCTGTTGAGCTTTAGGTCGCCGGTTCGATTCTGTGCAGGGTGGGACTGAGGAAAAAGACACGGTGGTGACGATGCTGTGTCCTTCGGAATCTTCGCAGTAACTAGCCGGTGAATGATATACCTGGACCCGGTGGCAGCGTTGGGCTGGATGGGCCCTCATGCTGGAGGTACTTGAGGAAGTTGAGGGAGATGGTTGGGTGTATGGGTGTGCGCACTGTGCGAGAGAGATGTTCCACGGCAGCCGTGCAGGGGTCGGGTGGATATCATGATCGGCATGAACACTGTCATAGCTGCGGTGGTTCAGGCACCAGGCTGTTGAGCTCGAGGTCACTGGTTCAATTCCGTGCAGGGTCGGACTCAGGAAAAATATGTGATGTGTTGTGCGTGTTTTTCTCTTTTGTGTGCACTCATTCATAGTGTTGTAGATACACACTGCCATACGTACAAAGATGACTCCTGTCTGAAATTTCTTTTGTCCCATGTTGTCTGGAGCCGTCATTGTGTGTTTTCTCTTTTCTGTGCACTCATTCACAGTGCCATACGTACAAGGACTTAACTCCACGCTGAAATTTGTTTCGTCCCGCGTTGTTCGCAGGTGTCACCGAGGACCAATTCCAGCGTGGACCTGGTGCTTCTTCAATGGGAAGCATGGAAGTGGGAGCATTTGCCATGTCAAAAATATGAATGTCACCACAAAATGATAGTTTGGTTGAGGCGGCGTTCCATCATGGGCAAGAGCGATTTCACTGGTCACCGGCTTCAGACAGCAAGCGGGGGGTCCACCCAGGGTTTTCTATTCCTTGCGGAAGCTGCATGCAAATTTTAACTCCTTTTCAAGTTGAAAGATGTGAATCAGCTGGTCTCTGTTTGAATTGCAGTTTGTTTGTGTCTCATGTAATTTCTCAACCACTTTACAATGCCGTCACGCACTAACTGTACAAATCTTTACCTGCAGTGCGAGGGATTTGGTCAGACTTGAGTTTCAGATTGCAGCCAAGGTTGGCTACGATAGACCAGCGCAGGGGTTATGTGGAACCTTCTATAAGCTTCCTCCTTCGCTGGAGTGATTGTGAAATGGTCCAGTGCTATTCTGGATCAGGTTTTATCTATTCCCGACACTGGCCTACTCACTGCGAGGGATGCCTTCATGCGTTCATGCCACTGCCACTCGGTGTCAGCGTGTAGATGTCACACTGCCAACCGAGGTTTCAACTATCCCCTTTGTGTGCATTTGTGCAGGCCACGAGGTATGAAAGAAAGCCTTCCTTGTATGCTAGGACATAAGGCATGTATTTTTATTTCTGCTGGCTTGATTGTGAATGGTCTAGTGCTGTTCTCGATCGAGTTGCGACGTGCTTGGTTTCGCGCTCCAAGTCCTACCCATTCTTACCGTGAGATACCAGAGCCTTCCTTGTGCGCTAGGAGATAAGGGATGCATTTCTGTTTTTGCTGGACTGATTGTGAATTGTGAATGGTCCATTACTGTTTCTGGAATTACGGTCTAACTATTTCCAGCACTGGCCTGTTTACTGCGAGGAATGCCTTGTACATTCATCTCCCTTAGTGTCAGCGCCTCGCTACCAAGCCTTCGATCATTCCCCTTTGTGTGCGTTGTGCATGCGACTACCGGTAGGCACCAGAACCTTCCTTGTGTACTGGGATATAGATATGATATCATGGTTCTAGTGGATGCATTTTGTTGTTTTTATGCATGTCATAGTTTGCCAGGACCTTGGTAAGCTCTTTGGTGTCTGAAAGCTGTTATGTCTGCGTGATCTTGACCGTTGGTGATGGCCATGCTCGAGGAGTGGGCATTTGTCGTTGTGCCAGTTTATAGTGCCTATTCGATAGCACGGTCCGCATTCTGCCATTTTCTATGTCAATATCCGTAGTGTCAAATCTTGAGAAGGTAGCATTGTGCCATTCAATAGCACATTCAGTAACACGTTCTGTATTCTGCCATATTTTATGTCAATATTCATACAGTGAAGCTTAAGGGGGTAGCATTGTGCCATTCAATAGCACATTCGGTAGCTATTCATGGTCAAGCTGGAAGGCGAGGTAGTCTTTAAGGTTTTGTGTACAATGATGGTCCGCCAACATTCACAGGCAAGCTCGAGATGGCTTTCTGATGTTCCATGGACTGGACTTTCCCAGCACCTTTTGGTAAATTAAGGAAGAGGGAAGGGTGCTTCGGTTGACGTGTGCGTATGATTTAAATACGTTTTACGTGTATACCATTTAATAATCCGTTTACCTCTGGTTGGCGTGTGTGTACCATTTAAATGTGGTTTATGTGTATACCATTTAGCTAGTCCTTCTACCTCCTCTGTTTCTTACTACGCTAGGCTAGAACAACCCGCTGAGTGTTGTTCCAGCCACTCGTCAATTTGCCGCAGAGTGTACAGGTTGTCTGTCACTTCAGTGTCTGCAACCAACCTGCATAGATATCACTTCGAAAATGGTCTCTTCTGTTGTTGTTGTTGTTGTTGTTGTTGTTGTTGTTGTTGTTGTCGTTGTTATCGCTGTTGTTGTTTGACGCTTCTATCAAAGTTCACTTGGCAATGCTGCCAAAGGGGATACGATCGGTAAAGGCTTCCTATCGCATCATGCGTGCCTTTGCACAGCAGCAATCCATCTGGAAAACATCTTCATCATCCACTCAATACTCTCTCTCTCTCTCTCTCTCTCTCTCTCTCTCTCTCTCTCTCTCTCTCTCTCTCTCTCTC